TGTGAGAGAGGCAGCCACAAGTGTGTGACAGAGAAATCATGGTCTTGCCCTCCTAGCATCCAAGAACTGCTAGGTGAGTAACACAAACAGCACAGCACAATGACCTCTGTTTAGAAGTGGTGAGGCAGAGGTCACAGGTGGCTCCAGCCTTCTAACAAAGCTCTTCCAGTGGGACATGAGTCACCATTCATTCTCCCCAGTTTCCAACCCACCCTGTCCAGCCCGTGACTTCCTCATCATGTGACGCAGCAGGTCCTGGAACAAACTTATGTTTACTACATCCACTGAAAGACAACTTACGAATACAGGCTATGATTTTTATTATATTTCTAGTGCCATTTTTCTGTTCTAAAGCAACAGATCGCTTCAGATCATTAGACTCGTTAGTTTCCTATCAAGGGGGCAGTGGCCGCCTATCTACCATAAGAAAACAGAACGTTAGCAGCCATATTTCCTACTGGAAAGGCAATGCAAGTCTTAGTAAAAACAGGTGTCAGGATACAGCCTCACATCTATTACATGTTCTTGGTGCAGAATGATGGAATACTGGCAGAAAAACAATAATGAGAAAATAAGAATATTTTATAATGAGAAAATAATTGAAAGACAATAGGAACTGTCATCTGACAGGCAGTGCACTGATACAGTGACTCCTGGTCTCTAATTTTCTCGTAAAACCCTGCAGTCCAGGCACCTCCACCTTAGTCATGAGGAACAAGAAGGCCAAACAGTCCCTCTGAATGACACAGCTTTCAGGGGAAGGGTAGATGTGCGGGCCTTGTCCTTCCACTCATGTTCTGTAGGTTGACACCCTCACCAAGAAGTTACCAGAGAGCTGCAAACCAGCCATGCTCCCCAGAGCACAGCCCCCACCCCTCCAAATGCCAGTACCACTAGGTAGCGCAAGGGCCAGTCCCTATATCACGATGACACAACAAAGAGGGACAAAAGCTGAGACTTGTGGAAAATCTGCTTCAATTATATGTCACTTTCACTATTTAAAATAAATCAGAACTCCTTTTCATGCCAATAAATATTGAGCATTATAAAAACACTGCCCTAGGTAAAAAAATGTTATACAAATGCAATGCATTCCCCTCCCAGGCACATGGGTAAATCATGAAAGCCAGCCCAGTTTAAACACAAGCCATGCATTACTTCCCATCAGGCTCTGCAGCCAGTCTTACCCCTGACTATAAGAATACTGTATAATTCTGAACTCAGAAAATGAAAAGTAAACATCAAGAAAACATTTCAAACACATAATTTTCCACTGAGGTTGCTGTCTAGATACCTCATGTAAAAAGCAATATTTTCCGCAGATCCACAGTTAGAATAAAAAGACAAAAGGTGCTTGGGAGCAGTGGCTCATGCCTGTAATCCCAGTACTTTGGGAGGCCAAGGCAGGTGGATCACAAGGTCAGGAGTTCAAGACCAGCCTGGTCAAAATGGTGAAACCCCATCTCGAACTAAAAATATAAAAATTAGCTGGGCATGGTGGCACGTGCCTGTAATCCCAGTTACTCGGGAGGCTGAGGCAAGAGAATTGTTTGAACCCAGGAGACAGAGGTTGCAGTGAGCCGAGATCACACTACTGCACTCCAGCCTGGGTGATGGAGCAAGGCTCTGTTTTGAGAGGGAAAAATTGTACTTGATGAATAAAGATGGCCGTTGCTTTTCACCTGAGTGTCTTGAGGTGTGAACTGTAATACAGATGGGTAGGGTGCCAGAAGCATAGCAACATTAGGCACCATGAACCTAGAGGTGGCTTGGAAGTGCCACGCACCAGAGCTATCTTCTCCCTATGCTCAGCTCATCCCTGCTGGACGATGTTAGCCTCTAGAAGCCCGGACACTGGCCAGCACGCCGCGGCCAACAGGGCCCCCTCACCTGCAGAGGAGAGGCCCTCAAGGGATCACCCAGCTCATTAGTGAGGCTCTTGCATCTTGAAGCAAGGGCTGTCTAAAGTTATTCAAAGAAAACACAACTAGCAAATGTGTGCATCTGGGTTCTGTGTAGCTTCCATTTTGAAGGAAGCTCATTTATTGAACAGAGCAGACCTCTGGGTTTTCGATAAATTAATCAGCCCAAGACACTGAGCTGGCTAACATCCAGTACGAAAGGGAAGGCTTTTCATTGTTTATTAATTCATCAGCCAGTACCAAGGCAGAACATCCTGCTTTGCGGAGGGGGAATCTTGATTCGACTCCTTACACTAATTCAAAACTGCTCTGTGCCAACAGCAGCCGAGTTTGTTCCTCTTCTATCACACACCATGTAGTATGAAAAAGTAAAATCCCACCTTGGAGTCTCAGGAGTCACACATCCGAGAAACACGTGAGTTCTGTCACAATCAAACAGGTAATCATGAAGCTCCTATACCAGGAATAAGTTGTAAGGATGTCTGCAGGCAGACTGGCTTTTCATTGCAAAATGCTGCTGAGACACTCGGGAGCTTCAGAAATAGAGCAGAGTAACATCTTCTTTCACCATGCCGAGAGCCAGAGCAACAGCTTTCACAAAACAGCTTTGGAAATGAGTTCCGGGCTTCAGCGCAGCCCAGCAGGGTGGCCAAGGATGAGGACATGGACACTAACAAGAGACTTCAGAGTCAAGTGGCAATCTCACCTGCAAAACTGAGAGGACAGGCCGGGCACAGTGGCTCACGCCTGTAATCCGAGAGCTTTGGGAGACCAAGGCGGGTGGATCACGTGAGGTCAGGAGTTCAACACCAGCCTGACCAATATGGTGAAATCTTGTCTCTACTAAAAATACAAAAAATAAATAAATAAATTAGCCAAGAGTGGTGGCATAGGCCTGTAATCCCAGCTACTCGGGAGGCTGAGGCAGGAGAATTGCTTAACTCCGGGAGGTGGAGGTTGCAGTGAGCCTGGGCGACAAAGCAAGACTCCATCTCAAAAAAAAAACAAAAACTAAAACTAAACAAAACAAAATGGAGGGGACAAGAGGACAGTGCTGTCCTACCAATGTCAGAGGGCCCTGATGAGAGAGCCAGACCTTCCATGCACAATGAGCAGGCTTTGGTCATCCCTGTCAGTGGCTTAAATGCAGAGAAATAAGACAAATCTTTGTGAAGAACATTTTTGTGTCCCCCTTCAGAAATCTATCATTCCAAAAATGTGAAACATGATGGTAAGTAAAAAGAAATGGACTAATAATAAGGAAATATTCCACACTGAAGTATTTTTCAGTTGACTCTAGTTTCCAAACTAAGTTTCCTGACTTTGCTGTTTATTGTGAAATTCACACATTTAACTGCATTCAGAACATAGTCTGATTATGCCTTAGGCCATGGAAACCAATCAACTATTTCTGAGAAGTGGTAAAGCATAGCCGTTTAGGGGGTTGTCACAGCACGGGAAACATTCAGACTCCATCATCCCAACTTACATTTTTAAAATCCAATTGGGTGGCTTGGCTCTTGTGAGACATCTGCAATTCGCTCTTCCAGATAACCATTATCACTGTAGTAAGTGGTTTAGGCAGGAGTAGAAGGGAGAAGGTTTTCAGCTCCACCCAAAACCAATTCTACCTGGTAGCTACAGACAACAGGCAAGACGGACGGCAGGTGGGCGGATGGAAAATGTTTAGACTCTGGCTGCTGTCGATCAGGCTCCCTCCAGCCTTACGGTTGTCGCACTGAACATTAGTGGATTTTGCGCTTAATTAAGAGGGTTCTAGCCGACCAAACTGTATTTACAGAATAAAAAATTAGCCAGATGAACAAAAGTATACACTTTGGCTGCATTAACACTCCTACCCAAGGCTATTTTTAAACACAACTCCCAAGCGATTAAGTCTGAAAACCGCCGGAACTGATTTGGTGATCAGCTGCTTTGCCGAGTGCTGGGAGTTGGCTTTAACTGCTCGCCCACTCTCACACAGACAGACAGACAGACAGACACACACTCCACTCCAACACACAGTCACACACACTCACACATACACTCACAGACACTCACACATACACTCACACACACAGCTGGCTTTCCCATTACAGCCCTTAGCCTAAGTTTGCTACTTATTTAATTGCTCAAACCATCCACATGTAATTGCAAAGTGAATCCATTTGGTATTTCTCCTCTTCCAGTTTTATGAGTCCTTAAGCCACACAGAGCGTGTAACAAGGTCTCTCTCCAACCTGCCTACCTCCTCCAAACCAGCAGGAAGCTCTGACTTTCCCAGGTGCAACTACTCTAAGAGCTGGGGCTGGAGGATCCTGCTCCCTCACTCCTCCAGGATGGCGCCCACTATGAATAAGTGGAAGCGGCTGGCCGTAGCGTGGACAAGGAGCACAGAGACATCTTAAAAAGCAAAGGACCTCAGCAGCCTTATGCGTTGCAGATGCAAAGTCCTGGTTACCGCTGGCCTTTGGGATTACAGTCTTAATGTCACTTCCTCCCCTTGGATGTCTGGCAAGCATGTGCTCTGTTGGTCAGAGCTCTCCGGGACGTCAGTGTGCATCACAGCAAACTAAGGATATGTTTTACAGAAAGGGCAGAAACTGTCAGGGGCACCCCTTCCCAGAACCCTGGTGGGAGGAAGAGGAACCACGTGCTCACTGGAACCACCTACCCATCTGTACACTTAACACCTCCATTCCCCTGGCCCTCACAGGATTCGTAAGGGTCGTGCTGGTGGCTAAGATCTCCGTTCCCCCTGCCTCCAAGCTGCTCTTTTAATGACCATGGGATTATGGTTGGGCCAAGAGGACATGAGCAAAGGGACTTGTGTGACTGGCAGGTGGAGCATGAAAGGATAGGGTGCACCTCCCCCTCCTCAGGCCAGGCTGGAGCAGATGGAGACTACACACCAGCCACAACTAAACACCAAATGAAAATCAGCACGTCTCCGGGAATGCAGCACCCCAACACCAGCCCGGGACTCCTGAGGTGAACTTTGAGATAGGAGAGAGACTTATCTCCTCTTTAAGCCACAACCACTTTACGTTCCTCAAAATAAGACCTCTTAACACCTACCAGATCTGCACCAAACCGTGGTACGTGGCTGGCAAGCTGAGTCCAAGCACATCAGTTCCAAATATTTTAGTGCCAGTTGATCTCTCTGTTCTCATACAGGCTGGCAAAAACAAGATTTAAGCAGCAATTTAAGAAACAGTTTTTTTTGAAAGAGGGCTCTAGAATATTCTGGGAACACTGAATCATATGATTTTAGAGCTCACGTGAGTCTTAAGACCATGTTATCTAACTCCCTCCACCAGCAAGAAGGAAGCAGAGGTTGTTCTGTGTATCACATGCCACAAACCAATGACACAGAAGCTTACAAAGTAATAGTCCTGACTCTAGGGAGCTGAGAATTCATTGGGTCAGAGAGGCAAGTAAAGGGACAATCGAATCCCACAGGAGGTTTCCGGACAGGGGAGGGCGTGAAGTGTGACAGTTTGAACAATGAGCTGGGGGTATTCTGAGAAAGGGGCAAGAAAGCTCTCCAGGCCAAGTCAAGAGAGAAAGCCTGAGACCCGGGGTGAGGAAGTGGCAAATCCAGCGGCTAGAGCCTCCCTGTCCACTGGCACTGGCTGCACCCAGCTATTTAAGTTTAAATGGATTAAAATTTTACAAGGTGAAAGACTCAGCTCCTAGTTGCAGTAGTCACCAGTCAAGAGTTCAGAAGCACCTGTGTCGAGTAGCACTGGCCGAGGACACTGGCGCCTGGCAGAAGCGTCATCAGACAGCCCTGAGCTGAGCAAGTGTGGAGGGGCCCCATCAGGATGGGCCTGCAGGCTGCGCGGAGAGGGGGCAATTTCACATTGGACGACTGGCACCAGGGACCAACGCTTCTTATTACTGACACAACTTTCTTTCCACTGATCCTCCCTGTCTTCCATAGAAGAAAGTCAGTAGGATTAACAAATAAGCAGAGGGCACTGTGAATGAGGGAAAGATGCCCTGCCTGACCCTCACCAGCCTCTGTCTGGAGTGAGGTGGCAGCATCCCTAAGGTAATGGCTCCCCACGGGGATTCAGGTTCTTGGGCAGTGAATGCCAGCGGGCCACCTGGGAGACAAGAGATGGGATCAACCAGGCAGGACTCCTGACTTAGCTGGCTTATCTTTGGAGGGCTGTATTTTTTTTAAGAGATAAGGACTTTATTGGTTTCTCTAAATCAACCAGTGCCTTTTCTTACAGGAATCACTGGGTGTGGGGCAGGTGGGAACTGCATCTACAAAAGTATTTGTGGTCTGGGAATCTGTCTAATCAAAGGGATCCATGAAAAATATACTTTGGCAGTTGCTTAAGAAGCTTTTTCTCTTTTTGAATAGAAACATTTTTAGCTGGGGGATTACTCTAATGGGACCTGGGCTGTAGAAGACAAGGCCCTGGTAGGGACAGCTTGCCACCTGATGAGGAGAGCAAAGGGAAGCATGCTAACACCCGGAGAGACCACAGAGTCTCTCCCAGCTGGGGAAAGCCATCGTTCTCTGGAGGGGCTGGCTCAGAAGCACAGGAATGGCCCTGAGACAGGCGGCAGGAAATAGACGCACTGTTGGGGACCCATTGCCTATTGTCATACCAGAGAAGACAGCAAACTCTAGTCTAGAATAAATAGCACTAGGTCTTCAAAGTACTGACCACCTTAGTTTTGCAAGAAGTAACGAAAATCATATAAAGAACACATGAGGAAAAACCGTTTAATTCTATTCCAGGAAGAGACAGAGGAAAAATAAGGAATTGTGGAACCATAAAAGAAAAATGACATAGACTAACCCATCAATTCAGGAGTAAAGAGCCAGCAAGTGGCCCTGAAAAATACAGAAACACTCAAGTGACAAGGTGGAAGTGAGACAGCAAAGTATAAAATGGGGGAGGTGGAAACTAAAATTTACAACTCAAATAAATAAAATCATAAAAGCATAAAAAGTCATATTATCAATACATCTCTCTGTAGGAATGTAAGCCAATATCAAATACAGTATTTTAAAAAGAGAAAAAGAACAAAGATGAAGATACATAACAGCTTTCAGCGAGTCATAAAATATCAACTTTTTGTTCAGCTATAGTATAAGGTAACTGAAAAAAACCACTAACTAAAATTAACCAACACATAAAACCTTCATAATTAAATGTGGATAGGCACAGAACAAAGGGAGGTAAGAAAACACCACATAATAAATAGAGGAACTCAGCCAGTGACGGAGGCTCATGCCCGTAATCCCAGCACTTTGGGAGGCTGAGGCCGGTGGATCACGAGGTCAGGAGTTCCAGACCGGCCTGGCCAACTTGGTAAAACCCCATCTCTACTAAAAAAAAAAAATAGAAAAATTAGCCGGGTGTAGTAGCACACACCTGTAATCCCCGATACTTGGGAGGCTGAGGGAGTAGAGTCACTTGAACCCAGGAGGCGGAAGTTGCAGTGAGCTGAGATTGCACCATTGCACTCCAGCATGGATGATACAGTGAGAATATGTGTTCCCTGACCAAAACATAAAAATGAAATTAAATAAATACAGGAATTCTGTTTAGTGTATTTACTAAGTCCAAATCTAAATCAGAACCAAGTGTTACCATATTTCAGATTTACATGTCCTTGATCTAAATATTAACACTACTTTGCTCTCAAATATTTATGCTCGCTTTTTTAAATTATAGATAAATTACAGAATTAAATTTAATTATAAACTTATAACAAAGCAAAAAAGGCCTACAAACCTAAACTACTTATTATAGTGTATAGATACATCCTATAATCACCGTTTTCTTAATAATCACGGGAGCACTTGAGTGAACACAGATTATGACTTCATTCCCTGGATCCCAAATTAAGGGGTTCACAGAATTGAGGTCTGCATATATGTGGGGGCTGTTACTCTGCCCGGGTCAAGGCTCCACCCAATAATAATCCACTCTGCCTTTGCACCGGAAGTCACAAGAAATCACAGGAGGGACTGTAGGCAAGGTTCCTGGAAGCAGGAGAGATGCGACACTTAACAAATACCTTCATTAACAAATCAAATCATAGAACCACCGAGAAATAATAAAAATGCTGAGACTATGTGATATCATGACACAGAAATGTCCAACCCTTCTAATTCATTAGCAAATATTATAATTATAAAACATTAAAATTCCTAGGCCTACTCTCTACATTACATCAACCAATCCTTAACTTTTACTTTATTAAATAAATTGCCAAAATAAACAGTACCTCAGAAGTAACATCTTTTAAAAAATGTTGCTCAAATCTAGTGGGAAAAGTTTTATGTAACAGATCGTTATACATGCTCTCATTTGAAAGAATGTAAACACGTTCTCTAACACTTTAGCCAAAAGCCAAAGGCCTAGAGACCTAAGCTTTCTATTATGGTGTGGAGTTAATATTTCCTTAATATTTATATGCTTATGGGGGGTTAATACAAAATGTCATTGTGGCTGGCCCGTGTCACTATCAAGAGTCACAGACCTTCTACAGTTAATACTATGTGTGGTACTGACAGGTCTACAGTAGCTCAAGTTACCCACTTCTATTTTTTAAAATTTCTTTTGGTTCTAATAACTTGATTAAATAAATACAAATTTATGCAGAGAAATGAATAACAGCTATGTTTACATGAAGTCCACATTTTGACGAAACTGATTAGCAAAACTTCCACGGATTTTTACATGAGCAAACTGCTTGAATACAGCCATTGATCAAATGCACCAGCTGTTTTGACATTTCATGCCATTGGAGATTATTGTATTCTACAGAAACATGTCTTTCCTCCATAGGAAAAAAAAATTTAAGCCTCGTCCTGCCAAACAGCAAGCCTTCTTCTGTCCTTTATTAATACAGGGTCCAATGGGAAATGTAGCCCTGTTCTAAACAGTGGACTACTGGGATGGCTCCCACAGATGTTCAGACAAACGCAAGTAAACAGATAAAGTACGGAGTTAAATATACTTTAAAACTTCACCAAAAGGCAATCTGCCTTTATTTGTGTTCTGAATATTCTGTCAATTCTTATACTTCAACTTAGCTCTAAGTCACAACAAGTCTAACTTGCTAGTTTTTGCACACAGCGTCTTTCCTAAAAGCACAGTTTCCCCGGGAGTCAAGTAGTCATACGTCACTGTTTTAACAAAATTCCTAGTAAAAAGCATGCAATTTCAATCCAAGTAAAAATGTGTACTTGTGTTTTTCACAAAGATAACTAATAACTACCTGTTAATAATTTAGCCAGACATAGAGTCAGTGAGTTTACATTCACCAACCTATCTCCCCTCCAGTAAACCTCTAGAAGAGCGTTTGTAGGCCATACTTTACAGGGTGAAATCTTAATTCACTGCACCCAGTCTAGCTTCTTTGTACACAACACAAGGAGGAGTGGTCGTTTCAGCAACAGCCGCAGCTCCGCCGTATCAGTTTGTTATCACGTGGGAAGAGGGTGGCTTACCGAAAGTTTGATTTTTTAATCAACAGTTGCAGAATCAGATAGAAAACAAATTTCCCTCAAGCACATTGCAAAGGAGTAAACTCAGTGAAGAGCCAGTAGATTCTGACTGCCACCAGTAATGTGCTAAAGTCAGATACTTGACGGCAATATCTAACCTTTATAATTAGCAAGCATACACCATAATTATATAAAATGCTCAAAGACCTAATACTATTTATTTCTTCAGATTTGAACACAAAATTGCTTCTTATTAAATATGTAATTTTTGTCTGAAGAAATATAAGGATATTAGTATTTTCTTGATGTTTCTTCACTGAAAGTATTAAAAAATGACAAAGTAATTGAGAACAACAGAAGTTAAAAATAGTATGTCTAGATTTCTTGGACAAAGATGTCTGGACAAGAAAACTGGACTATGGATGAGTAAGGGAAAAGAACTGAATGCATCAGGAGTAATAATTTCAGGTTCTCCATAGCAAAAATCCTTCGCTTTCCTTTGCCATTCAAATGCGAAGGCCAATCGGAGCTCCGGGAGGCAGTGAGAAGGCCAGCCCTGGACTACCTCTCGCTACACAGTACCAGGCTGAAAAGAGTGCCACGACTTAGGGTCCGTCCTTTCACTTCTATCATCAGACTCCGTTCAAGGATTTTACAGATACTCTTTGAATACAGTTTTGCCGGCCTTTTAAATGTTCTCTCTGTCTTCATATTTATTTATAAGGTAATAGTGACAAAATAATTCAGTCTCCTTAAATAGGTTCATTTAATAGGCTATGAAAGCCACAGATTTAAAGATACCTCTGTTTCACATTTCCCTATGTTATTTTGGGATGTCTATTACCATGAAAAAGGATTTCCCACATTTATTTTCTTTCTGGGGAATTTGTTTATTCAAAGAGAATTACATAACCACCGCTAAGTGCACTGCAAAAAAAAAAAAAAAAAGAAAGAAAGAAAAAGAAAAGAAAACTTCTTTTTAACTTTCCTCAGCTTCAGGATTATTCGATTTGCTAACCGGGCTCACTTTTTCCTGGCATTAAAGAAAAACTCTAAAATTTAAAAAAGAGCCCGACTGAAAGTCTTTTATACACTTGGGCAACACGTCTGCCTATGGGCACATGGGCAGGGTGAGTCAGTAGGACACAACTGTAAAAGAAAAAAAGATTTGTTGTCCCCAAAGCTGCCTCCCTCAAGTCCAGTTGCCATAGCAGAAAGTGGGCCCACTCGGTAAGCAGGTGCAGGGCTCCCCCAACCCTCATTCCATTTGCAAGACTCATACACATGTGCTCCAGGCGAGCGAGCGAGGTCGAAGGTCCCCGGCGCGCGGCGCTGAAATCTACTAAGTCCTCCCGGACTGTGAGCGACCCCGGGGCCCAGCCTGCGCGGCCCGCCGGGATGCCGGGCACCTGGCGCGGGATCCGGATAAAGAGCGGGGCTGCTCGCGCTGTATGAGGGAAATTACTCTTTCTGCGAGTCAAATCCTGAAGGTGACGTGTAATCCCTGCACGCAAGGTGTGGGGACGGTAAACAGAAACTGGGAGAGGTCTGGGCAGAAGCCGAATCGCGAAGACAGGGATGGGCGCCCTGACTCGCGGGTCCGCTTCGGGGATCTGCGCCTCAGGCCTGGCCCCACCAGCGCGCCCCTTCCACTGGAATAAAGACAGGGAGGGAGAGCCGTTACCATGAAACCCTCCGGGCAATCCGAGTAGCTCCCGAGAGCGTGGGGCCCGGGTGGCCGCGAAGCCCTACCCTCCACTCCGCCAGAGAGCCGACCCAGGGGGTGCCGCCACCGGAGGAGGGAAGACTTGGTCAGAACTCCGGCCGGGGACAAGCCCGCACGGAAGCTGCCGAAGTCAAAGGCCGGGAGTCCCCTCGCTCCCCCACCGCCCCTAGGGCAAACATTCGGGGGGCCTGAGGGGAGCTCCGAGCTGAATGGGGGTGGTGCTGGCGGGGACCCCTATAAGGACTTTGGCACACAAGCCACCCAGCGCGAAAAGTGCGCTCCGGCCCTAGCCGGACACGGTTACCTGGGCAACGACCCGGGCGCCCAAAGTACACAGCACGCACCACCACCCAACACCAGCACCCAAAACCAGCACCGCAGCACCTGCTCCACCACTATCACCAGCACCCGCTGGGGCAGCAGAGAGGGCGCCCAGCCCAGGAGCGCGAGGTGCGGGCGCGGGCGTCCGAGCCCCGCGAAGCCCCCGCCCCACCCCACCCCTCCTGGCCTCGGGGCGGCTTACCCGGTCGGGGGCTTGGCGGCCGAGGCGCGCGACGCGTCCATGGTGCCGGGGGCTGGGGCACTGGCGGTGATCGGGCCCCGCGAGTTAGGCGCTGGCTGCGGCCGCCACCGCTGCCGCCCTCATTCACTTTTTCCGCGCTGACCCATCGTCCTCCCACGCGGGCCGGCGGAGGACAGCGGCGGAGCCGGGCGGACGGAAGGGGCAGGAACCGTCTCTGGCGGGCGGGGGCGCCGGGCGCGCTGGGAGGGGCTGGCGGCGGCGCGGGGCGGGGGCGCCGGGAGCAAGGTGCGCCGCGCCCCCGCCCCGGCTGGCTCCGCCGCGCCCACCGGAGCGCCGCCCACGCCCCGCCCCGCCCCGCCTGCCCCGACCCGAGCCCGGGCCAGTCCCGGGGCACGCGTCCGAGGAAATAGTCTCCTGACACCTGGCCCCTGCACGGACACCGCGGCTCTGCAGAGGGCTTATCCCCGGGCTCCTCCACTTTGCGGGGAGCGCGCCCCTGTCTGGGCGGAGCGGGGGAACCCGGGGCCGTCCCCTCCCGGGCGGAGCTGGGGGAGGGGAACCACCTGGAGCCTAGAGGCCGTGCTAGGGCGATGTGGGCGGACCAGCGCCGGAGCGCAGAGGTTGGAGGGTGAGAAGCGTGTGTCCGGCGCTGCTCTCTGACCTTTATCCGAGCAACAGATATCTAGTGCGTGGGGTCGCAAAGTGGGAGTCCCTACCGCGAGCGTCAGCAACACCTGGGAACTTGTTAGAAATGCAGATTTAGGGGCCCCACCGGGTCCCATGGAATCAGAAACAATGTGGGCTGGAGCGCGGCCTCGCTTTGCTAACAACTCAGTCGCTCTGGGTTAATGCACCTGATCAGCTGGGCGCTTCTGTGGCACAACTCTACCACTCCAATGCAGGCTGGCGGGCATATATGCAGGTCCTGCCGGCCACCCCGGGGCCCAGAGCAAGCCAGCCAGAGGTCCCTGATGTGCGGAACTTCACCTCCACTCTCCCAGATCCTGGTTGGTATGATGGACTGACCTATAAAAGTGGCAGTTTCATATGGTTTCAATAACTCGAGTAAAAGACCAGCAAGAGGCCAGGCCTGCACGGTGATCAGCGTTGGAGGTGTTGCTTCCCTTGAGATCTTGTCACTGGATGAGGTATCCGGAGGCCTGCGGAGCCTTCCTCCCTCTGATCCCCTGCTTTCTCATTAACTGAAGGAGGAGGGAGACCAGTCTAGATGCAAAATGTGAGTCCTTGCCGTGGCTGGCAGATCTTGGGGGTTCCCTAGCTCCCACCTAGAACGGTTTCCGAAGTCTTGCGATGGCCTTGGGGCTCACTGCCCCGCAGCCCAACCTCCCATTTTCTCCACCTGAGTGGAGCCCTGTTCCGGCTCAGGGCCTCTGGCTGGGATGCTCCTCCATAGTGCTCTCCTCCTGCTCCTTCTTATCCCGTGGTCTCCCCAGGAAGACTTTCCTGGCCTCTGTGTCTAAAACTCCGAGTGGGACACAGTGGCTTACACCTGTAAACCCAGCACTCAGGGAGGCCACCGCCGGAGGAGTCTTGAGCCCAGGAGTTGGAGACCAGCCTGTACAACTCAGGAGAACACTCTACCAAACAGAAAATTAGCAGGGCATGGTAGCACACACTTGTAGTTCCAGATGGGGGCAGGCAGGGAGGATAGCCTGAGTCTACGGTGAAGTTGAGGTGGTTGAGGTTACAGGGAGCCGTGATCACAACATTTCACTCCAGCCTGGGCAATGGCATGAGATTCTGTCTCAAAATACAAAATAAAAGCAGCTGTTACTCAAGTTCCTGACTGCCGCCTTGTCCTGATTTATTTTCTGAGCATTTGTCACTGTGTGTGTGTATATGTATGTGTGTGTGTGTGTGTGTGTGTGTTATATTTTTTTATTTTATTTATTTATTTTTTGAGATAAAGTCTAGCTCTGTTGCCAAGGCTGGAGTGCAATGGTGCGATCTGGCTCACTGCAACCTCTGCCTCCCAGGTTCAAGCAGTTCTCCTGCCTCAGCCTCCTCAATAGCTGGGACTACAGGCACCCACCACCACTTCTGGCTAATTTTTGTATTTTTAGTAGAGACAGGGTTTCACCATATTGGCCAGGCTGGTCTCGAACTCCTGACCTTGTGATCCGCCTGCCTCCACTTCTCAGTGCTGGGATTACAGGCATAAGCCACAGCACCCAGTCACTTATCTATATTTAAATAAGTTTTTATTTATAAATAAATGTTTACGTGTAATGTGGGTTATATTTATAAACATGTTGTTTATTTGAATGTATAAAATTTGTATTTATGTAAACATAAATACACATGGTGTATACATTATATATAAATGGAATAGAAAGATATAAATACATATTCTATTCCACATATATTTTGCTCATGTGTTTGCCATTGGTCTCCTCCCTAGAATGTGATCTTAGCAAGCACTGGACCTTTGTCTGATTTATCACCCCAGCATCCAGGACAGTGCCTGGCAGGGTGGAGGCAGTGCTCAGTAAATAAGTGGTGCACTGAATGAATGAATCTCCTCTAACACCTTGGGTGTGGGTATTAGAGAGTCTCTCTCAAGATCTGGGGAACCCCTTTTTACTCTGGACACCACTATTGGGAAGGGCTGCTCAGGAGGGGCCAGAGCTGAGAATTCGACTAGGCACTGTGGGCCAGATTCCATTGAAGTTCCCAAGGGGAAGTCCGCCTCCCAGGTGATGCATGCTCCAAGAACCTGGAAGAGGCAGCAGGAGAAAGTATGGTGAGGACCTGGGGCAAAAGAAGCCTGAAGTAACCCAGTCTCAGATGCTGAGCACAGAAGGCAACAGGAAGCCTGAAGCAGGTGGAAGGTGAAGAGTTTCTAAGAGAGCTCCACAACATCCAGGAAAACAACGAGAAGGAGGTGATGTGCCCCATCCAGGCAGAGATGCAACTTGCTCTTCTAGGAAGAAGGTCCAGGTGACTAGGCCTGGACAACCTCAGATCCTTGCAAGGCCCCCAAACATCTACTCAGAAACCCAACAGGAACTTGTTTTCAGAATGTGGAGGGTTAAGCTTGGAAAGAGCTGCCACAAAGAGACGGAAGGTAAGGGTCAGACTTGCTGCCAGAGGGAAGAGCTGCACGCTGTGGCCCAGCGCCTGGAGTCTAAATGGGCCAGGCCTGCCAATCACTAATAACAACTCTGGGGAGGGGCAAAGAGCCTGGGGGGCAGGCGGGGCCTGGGACCCAGATTCTGTGCATGTTGCCACCCACACTTTCCTCACTGGTAAGGGCGCCAAGAGAGGCACCTATGGAGAGTTGTTTTCCAAAATTGTACAGTTCAACAGATATTTATGAACATCTACTGTACTCCAGCCATTGTCTGCTGTGTGGATGTGGCTACCTCATAGGGAAGGCTAGGCAAGAAAATCAGAAGTAACAGGCAAGGCTGAGCTCTTCCAGACAGACAGTGAGAAAGAAGAATAGCTGATGGGCTGAAAGCAAAGGGCTGAGCGGGGTCTTGCAGAAGTCTTGTAGAGGATCTGTCACCAAGAGTGCCTACCCCTTGTTGTCACTGAGTAGAAGGCGCTCCTTCCTGTTGTTTGGTATAATGGGCTGACCTATGAAAGTGGCAGTTTCATATGGTTTCAGTAACTCAAATAAAAGACCAACAGGCCAGATCAAATGATCTTCAGCAGAGCAAATGGCACAATCATACGCAAGGGAAATTCAAAGGGAAAAGTGTTCTTAATGGACTCTCCTGCACGTGCATTGATTCATTGATTGATTAATTGAGATGGAGTCTCACTCTGCCGCCCAGGCTGGAGTGTAGTGGCTCGATACAGCTCACTGCAACCTCTGCCTCCCAAATTCAACACTTCCCTGCTGCAGCCTCCTGAGTAGCTGGGATTACAGGCACCCACCACCATGCCTGGCTAAGTTTTGTATTTTTAATAGAGACAGGGTTTCAGCATCTTGGCCAGGTTGGTCTGGAACTCCTGATCTTGAACTCCTTGAACTCCAGGCTGGTCTTGAGCCTCATGATCTACCTACCTCGGCCTCCTAAAGTACTGGGATTACAAGCGTGAGCCACCATGCTTAGCCTCTTTCCTGCATATGCTTTTCAATGTCCTTATTGAAACTTTTTCTTCTTTTTTTTCTTTTTTTTTTGAAAGGGAGTTGCTCTGTTTCCCAGGCTGGAGTGCAGTGGCACAATCTCAGCTCACTGCAATCTCCACCTCTCATGGTCAAGCGATTTTCCTGCCTCAGCCTTTCAAGTAGGCAGGATTACACTGCGCCCGGCCAGTTTTTCAGATATTGACCATCACTAAACAATCTATATTTTATGATTTGGCAAACATCCAGGGATGTGCTGATAAATGCTTAAAAATGGCATTTTTAATTTTTTTTAAAAAGAGCCCCTATTTTTAGCATTTGCCAGTTTTTGCAGTGTGAACGCTCCTTGACAGATTTCAAGCTAAGGTGTTGAGAGGTCACTGAACAGGGATTTGTGGAAGAAGCAGCAACACCGCAGCTCTCCACGATTTGCCTTCCAACGTGCACAAAAGCAGAACCTTTGCCCTTCGTCCACAGAGCACGGTTGAGCACTGCTCTTTGTCCCAGGCACCATGCTTGTGTACGGGCTGTAACAGGTGGCCCTGGCTACACTTCTGGACTATGGTGGCATCAGCTCTTGCTCCAACCAGCAGGAGCTGTCCTGAGGCCAGAGTATGAGGCTACCTGAAGGACATTCTCTCCTTGCTCTAACCCCATCTGCCGCCTTTGCTCCTACCGCTCCTCCCAGGCACACCTGGGGGCTCAACAGCTCCATCAGCATACACTCAGCTCTCCATGAGGTGGGTGCCTGCAGTCACACCAGCTGCTCTTCTGGAGGGAAAAAGAAAGGAAGAAACCACATCAAAGACACAGGCGAAGGCAGCCCATTTTAAAGCAGGGCTTCATAAACGTGGATACTTCTTGAGATGTTATTAAAAGGTAGGGGCCAGGCATGGTGGCTCACGCCTGTAATCCCAGCACTTTGGGAAGCCAAGACTGGCAGATCACAAGATCAGGAGATCGAGACCATCCTGGCCAACCTGGTGAAACCCTGTCTCTACTGAAAATACAAAAATAAATCAGGCGAGGTGGCACACGCCTGTGGTCCTAGCTGCTCAGGAAGCTGAGGCAGGAGAAGAGCTTGAACCTGGGAGATGGAGATTGCAGTGAGCCGAGATCACGCCACTGCACTCAAGCCCAGGTGACAGAATGAGTCTTGGTCCCTAATAAATAAATTATAGGTTCTGACGTAGCAAGTCTGGCCAGGACCAGACAGTCTACATTTCTGACAAACTTTCAGAGAGGCAGACACTGCTGGCCCAGGGAGCACACTTTGAGTAGCAAGCATTTAGGGTCAGACATACGGAGCGTCTTCCGGCCTGAACCTCCACTCACTGGTGATATTGCCGAGAGCAAATTACTTCTCTCTAGGTTTTAGTTTC